ATGAGGGGATGTTAAATGGAGAGTCTGGCTTCTTCCCCATAAATTATGTTGAAGTGATGGTTCCCTTGCCTCAGTGATCCTGTCATTCAAGCTGTGAACGTGATTTCATGACTGAAACGGATTCACAAATGTTCTGTCAGTGTGGCATTCTGTGAAAGCCTTGCTATTTGACTGACTTACTGACTTTTGTATGCGTCTTTTTAAAATGTATTTATTTTATATTCAGAAAAATTTCACCTTCCTTGACTCATCCACCTCCAAAAAAACTCATACCCAGTTTTTTGCTTTGTGCCTTGAAGATCACTGTATGAAGTGTTTACTGGTAGCTCACTGTTGCTCCCAAAATGCATTTTCTTGTTATTATTGTATGTGGATTTTTTTTTTATCTTTGGCTGCAATGATTTTACTATTGAAAACCATTTACAAAAATACTGTAAGTGAAGCTAACTGTAACCAGTTCCTAAGTTACTGATGCCGTTGAGCTCTCTTCATCTATCACACTGTACACTGTAACTTATTGTGAGCAAGTTAATCCATGTTTCACATTGGTTGTTGACAAAAGGCAAAGTGGTTGTTGTCAATATTATGATGATGTACTAAGTACAAGCTCTCAGCATTGAAAATTCCTATAATTTACTGACCAAACTGAATAAATATTTCTGTGAGATAAGAACAGTGGTTGCTGCTTCTATGCCTATACTTCTGGCATTTCTTTTTGAGCTGGAGGTCACCATTGCTAAATATATCAGCTTATAATGAAGGAAATGATGCTACATTAAAAATGTACAAATAAAGCCAAAGCAGTTGTTTTATGACACTTCAGCCCCTGGAATTTTAATAATCTTGCTCCTCCCTACTTATTGTGTAGCATTTACATCTGTTAAAATTTTCTTCTAGCAGGAGAGTAGTAAACTGGAAGCAAGAGAGATACAGTTATTGATTAGGATCAAGTGTATGTGGAGGTCATAGGAAAACAACCATATTAAAAGGTTTGTTTCCAGGAAAACAGCTTACACAATAGAATGCATTGCATATCACCGAATTGTTTCTTTAATATGTGCCTTTATAAGAATGTATGCGAAGAACAAGTTTCATAAACTGTCATGTAGGTTGTTTAGTTGAGTGGTTGTGTAGTTGGATTTCCTGGACCATTGGTGGTATTATCAAACAACATCCTGTAGCACTGTTATTTCGTGTCAAGACTTCGCTATTTCCTATCAAGACTTGTACACTAGTTCAAAACTTCCATGGTTATTACTCAATAGCATCCTTCCCTTGTACTATGAAAATGTTTCGTTTGAAATACTGAAGCTTCCTGGTAAGTCAGGCTCAGAGCAGTTCAGTTTTAGTTGAAGAATTGAGTGATAGGGCAGCAGAGTGTATTTCTACAGGGAATCTTTCCTAAACCTACCAGCAATTTTATTGATTCAGAGTCTCTTGAGCCACTCAAGATAAGTGAACAAACAACTTTATTATTTAACCTGCAAATATACATGAAAAATACCTTTAATAGTTAAAAAAGTTTAAGAAATCAAGACAAATGTAGCAAGCTTACAGCAGCAGCTATTTCTCTGTGGGCCATAAGGTACAGAACTTGCAAGTCTGCTATAACACAAGTATTAAACCAGCATCTACTCTTGATGTCTCAAAACCAGAATTTTTAAATTACTTGAGCGAGTAAACTAGTACAAGGAAACCCTCACCTTAACAGGCAGTCAAAAAAACCTATTCCAGCATTTGAAAAAATCTGTAATCTCAGCTGCTCCCCTCCCCTCATGCTCTTACATTTAAGTGTACTTGCTGTGGCTCATGAAGGTCCTTTCTTTACCATAGAGCCAGCGGGTGAGCACTTTAGTAAAAAGAGGCTAAGAATAATTAAATGCAGTGGCCCCAGAGGCTGACTGCCTAGTTTCTCTAAGTTATAGGTCGGGTATAGGACATGGACTACAGAGCTACAGCACTGACCCAACAGCTCCGTTAGACATACACCAAGCAGTGTGCTGACTGCACAGAGATTTAGTGCACAAGGACACTAAGAGCAAATGGTTTTGATACCCCTTTTACTACGCTTAATGCTTTCTAGGTTGATTTTTGTTTCAGATTTGTGGTTTCTTTAGCCCCTTGGAAAGCTGGCTTGTTGGGCCCACTCACAAAGGAGTGCCAATATTGCTAATTACAGTACCTTCTCTGTTGGAATGAGATGCTTTTTCACATTTACAGGATTTATCTGTCCAAGTTAAGGTTGACCCAGCTATGCTGTGATTCAGTATCTCTATATTCCGAGATACAGTGTAACTGGTGGATTTCCAGCTGCTAGAATGCAGAAATGGTACATTTAGTAACAGACAAGAATACTTTTTACAACTTGCTGTTGATTTTGAAATGTTTCACTCTAAGAAGTTCTCAAACAGGTGATGTAGGCCAGTTTCATATATTTGGGCATCTGAGTGGGAAACATCTCGGACACTGAGCACTCTTCAGCCAAATTCAGACTGTCTCAAGGTGTAAACTAAGGTTTGATATGGCCCTTGTACTTTCCCACTCAGGCTTGAAACAGAAGAGAAACACTGCATCACATTATCAAGAAAGCTGAGGCAGCCTCGTGCTCATTGTCAAGTATTTAGCATTCTTCCAGGGCATATGTTTAGAAGTTTTGTAAACTGTGTACCCTCCTCTGTTTCAGCAGGTTGTGGAAACCAGATCCTTGTGTTAAAGTAAAAAAAAACTTCACATGGAACATGTATTATACTGCTTTTTATGTCAGTGAATCCAAGGACAGGTCCAGTATCAGAAGGTAGGAAATTTCATCATGTTATGGACAAGTTTCTTACAAAGAGGTCAGATGAAACATGACTTCCAAGTTTCAGATATTGCAGAAGATACCAGAAGACATAAAGTCTATTGTCAGCTGGGATCGAGAAGTGTTTTCAGATTATCATCTCTTTGTGCACATTACATGATAGCGCAACTAGCATCCTCATTTTGCTGCAGAAATAAACAAGACGACATTAGCCTAATTAGCATGTGTACAAACTTAGTATTTATTTCCAGTTACCTACTTGGTCCTCATATAGGCATGTGGGGTTTTTAGTGTTTTGGAGATTTACTTACTGATAAGGCAAAGCAGGTTTCCCAGAGAGGCAGTTCCCTAACTATACTAGATGGTGGAGGGGGGGACAAAAGAAAAAGAAGCAAAAACAACCCCCCAAAAAAGAATACATGCTTCGATGAGTTTTGAGTCCATGCAATACATGAGCCTGTGCCTTCCTTAATGAAAGGCTGTCAGGCTAGCTGTACCTCAGTTCTGAAACACCAAAACTTAACTGGCATGCAGGTTCATGCTACCCTTATTAGGATGGTAAAAGCAGAAGCAAAAGCCATGGAAACTGTTCCTTCAAAGCACAGCATGCTTTGTTTGCATGATTTTACTGCATGCAGGAAGTAAACTTCTTTTTACTAAGCTGTCATTATTTCAGTACTACCAGTGCAGCAGAAGCAAATGTGTACTAATGACAAAATTTTGAGAGGAGTTCAAACAGGAATGACATCAACATTTGAGTGGGAGTATTAGAATTGATTTGTACCATAAATGGCACACAACTGTATTGTAAAGTTGCTGATAAAACAGATTAGAGGTTTAACGAGAAAAGTTATTTTTGCTTTCCATCACTGACTGCTGAACAAGCCATAGTATTAATCAATTCAAATAAAGAGCCTTAAAAAAAACGCAAACAAACCACAACCAAGCAAACAAAACCAAAACCACGACTTGAGGAGAGGCCCTACTCTGAACGTGAAAAGAAGCTTGTATCAGTAAGTCTCGTCATAAGCCTAAAGCTTCCGCTGGTGTTATTTCAATCATGTTGGTACACGCTGTGCATTAAGAACCCAACGGCTAAAACAGCATTACAGAACCTCTCTTCAATAGCCTGTTTGACAGAGTCTCACTCTCCTTCAGTGAGAGACTGAAAACATTACAAGAATGTAAGTCAGGAGATTTTGATAAACATCCTTTAAGCTAGATGGCATTATACTAATAGATATTTACCCAGATTTTCTGTTTGAAAGAAGGTCAAAGAAAAGAACAAAGCAGCAGGCAGTAACTGCCTGTTCTTTGGCACGCTTTCTTCAGAAAGACAGTGGCTTTAAGACCTGGTACAATAAGATGCAAATCCTCCTTGCAATTGTGTAGGATCAGTTTTAGAAAGAGCTGTGGTAGCTCAAGATGCTGTGTCAGCAGGAGGAAGAGTATGAATTTTCAGCTAGGCACCCTTTGTGCCTAGGGCCTTGGAGCCTATACTAGCAAAGTGGACTTGGTGCTATTTCAGGTTAAGAAACAAAGCAACTCAGGAGTCAAGCCCATAACTGTTTGGTTATGACCAACTTAAAGGCCTTGTGTTACTTGTTTTAGACTACTTCAGCAGTTAAAGAAAACTAACTACTGTTATACCAAAGTACACTAGGAGCATCCAGTATGCAGAAGTTCAGATTTGTAATATGGTCAGAGAAAAGCCATTTGGAGGGGCCAGAGAGTCTTTCACAGGGCATTCCAAGATGCAAGTTGTAGCCAAAGGGTTATCAGTATATTGAACATGAAACATGCTTATTCTAACTACATTAATTCCATTAGCACGACCTACATCTGTGCTGAAGGTCTCCTTGGAAAGTACTAAAGGGAGTATTTATGACTGAAGCAATGCCAAGAGTCTTACTTTGCTGTGCAAAATAAGAAAAAGTAGTTCCTGGAAACAAGCTGTAACAGAAGTGCCTCAAACCCATGCTTGAATTTGATGGACTGATATCATCAATACACTAAGAACTTTGATTTCAACCTTTTAATACTTTTGAATAGAAATACTACATTTCTTCAGTGTGAATTTAAGTTATTTTAAGAGTGAGTCAGGGACACTGAAGTGTCAGATAAGTCACTTTATTCCAGAGAAATAAGATACTTCTAGTTAGTGTTTGCATTCTGTTCTTGGGGTAGACAGCTTTTAAGTTTATTCGCAGTCAGACATCTAGATAGAACAGACATTAAAGCTAGTATATTCTGTGTGTCAGTAATGAGACCAAATAATGAGTGCTATTATTTGATCATATTCAATCAGGGAATAAGCAAAACATCAATTCCACTTCTGATGCAAAGCCATGCAAACTACATCCTACGTGAGACGAGAGACTGTGACACTATTAATGAAGCAAGTTTTCTAGGAGATGACAAGCATGATTCTCACCACCTCACCTGCTTAAGGATGCTCACAGGAACCACTATCATGAAACCAAACAACATTTCTTTTTTCTTCTTCTTTTGGTCTGACATCAAGAAAAACATTAAGAATTGTGGAACAGTACTTGGGGAAGTATTTTCATACAGTGATGAAATGAAAAGGCCATTGAATGACAGTGGATAGTACGTATTTAAACTTCAGCCAGCTTACCTGAGGTGGAAACTCCATTTCACTTCCAGTTACTTCTTCAAAAACATCATCTTGCTCACTGCTTTCTTCTCCCCTGGGTATGTGCATCATCCTCCTCTCTGCAAGTTCCTAGAATACAATTGAATCGCCACCAGTAACCCTCAAGAACTGAGCACATCAAACAAGTTTATTGTTAGGACAATAACACGTAGGACAATAGCACATCAAACAAGTTTATCGTTGAAGCTATTTATTATCTCGCTTACCTCACCAGCATCTGTGATGAGTGTAACATCAATGTTGGCCCCAGATCCCCAAGAATTCTGACACTTCCAGACCAGATCGTTAGGACCTGGGCTTGCACCAGCAGCTGCACCCCAGATCTGCAAGAGGTTTAGAGTGAGCTTCTGAAGAATCTTATTTGTAGTTAGATTAGGATTCTGTCTAACATAACTATTAAGTATGCCAATACCAAAGATGTCCAGTAACAGAAACTGAACTACTGTGATCCCTGGCAGGTTAGTTCTTTTCAGGACTTCCAAGAATGGTGGTAATGTCTAGGATTTTTTGTGGTTTTTTTTTTTTCCCACTGAAGACTGTAAAAGATTTAGTGCAGAAAAGGCCATTAACAGCTTCTACCTGATGAAGAGCTAGCCTTGCTTGGACATGCATACCGTTGGAGTCAGAGCCAAGCCATAGCTACAGAGATACCTGTGGCAGAAATTTGTGTATACAAGGTAGCCCCGAGCCTGGGGTCATTCACAGATCTCTTGAGCAAGCTCATACAGAGCTTGAAGTACAGAGTGTAGTGTTTGGCTCTTTGAACACTATCGAAGTGTACTTAGAGTATGACTTTAGAGCTAATATTTATCTTAGTACCATAAACTGTGAACTCAGCATTGCTGAACTGTAGTGGACTAAAGCTTTTAGCAAGTGTAAGTTGTAGCACAACTTTTATCAAATGACAGGAGTATGGAGAACCTGAAGAATAAACTAGAATATTGATTCTGTTCATAATAACAGCATATCCCCATCTGGGATGATCCAAGTTCAATCTGAGATCTACCTGTAAAGAAAATTTAATTGCCATTTCAGATCAAGCTGCTGCAAGATTTTTCCCATCTTCCTCTCCACATACGATAAGGATTTTAGGTTTTCAGGCATTTGCAGTATCAATTCAGTTTTCCTTATTACATGAGTCTCTGTTGCCATCTAACATAACAAGAACAGAGGTCTGAGTAAGTTTTACAAACCCACTACCTACTGTAACTACTTGGCCTGCCCGGAGAGTGAAGCGTGAAGGAAATTTGTATGTTACATCTGACACACTTCCCAGATGTCTTCTTAACACCCATCCACGTAGAGGTTGATCCTGTGGGACAAGCAATTTCGCTCAGCATTACAGCCCAACAGCATATCTTACAAGTACAAAGTTCTTTCCAGGCTCAGTTTTAGTCCCACTCCTGTAGCATACAAGAACCTGATCAATTTTGATGAAGCACTCAAGTAATCATTAAAGCCCTCCTATGTTTTCTTCCTGTACTTGCTTAGGATAATCCTAGTCCCACAAGTTTAGATGTACCTATTCTCACTTTCTGTTCAAGGGCGATCATTATGCTCTTTACCAGAGAGATTCTGATAATTGGTGTTTGTCATGCCCATCTACCAGCTTGGGCAACATAGGAACCTGTGAAGGTTTAAGGCATCTCAGGCTGAAGTGGCTAAACTACCAGCCACAAGTAGGATTAATTCTAGTAATTCTGGATTTGCAGATTAAAATACTGAAAGCATTACCTAGTTAGTCAGATAAACGCTCTGCATGAATTAGATACTGTCAGCTCAATTCAACCTTTTAGCCATTTTCAGCATTTTCAATTAATAAAGCCCTATCATTATCCAATTTGCTAATCACCTTATCTAGTTTGTTGAAGATAAGTAGTACTTCTGATAGTGCTAGCCTGAATCTGAGAGACAACTGAGGGTGGTAGATTTCTGCATCATAGAACCCAAATTACCTTCCCACAAAAGCAGCTCCCAGACAGCGGTGTGAACAAAGCACCGGCAGTACACATACACACACACACGCAAAAAAAAAAAAAAAGGAAAAAAAAAAAGAGACTGGGCTCTAGTCTTCTCTTAGCCAGGTTACCTGAGAAGACCCCACTCTATATTTTTTTTTTTTGGCAGTACTATAACCTCATCTCTTCCTGTTCCCCTATTCTCATCTCTCACCAAGCTAAAAGACAGTTCACAAGCGGTCCTGCTTTGCAATGAAGGCCACACAGGTCTGAATGAACAGAAGTACCTTGTCAGAGTTGTTTTTAAGCCTGACAAATTTTCCATCTGCATCGATTTCTTCAATAGATAGACTTCCAGAAGATGAACCATGCTGAATATTCTTAAATCCAGCACTATGCCCTCTCGTTTTGGCTTCTTTCATTTTCCTTTTCCTTCCATGCAGGAACTGTTGCCCTTGACTTGCTGCTTGACTTGCAGTGCTGTGTGAAGACGGTCTTGGTGACAGCTTCAGCCTAGAAGAGAGTCAGAATATCTGATGTGCTTTATTTCTTCTCACACCAATCTTCCCTCCCACTATAGCCGAGCCTAACAGCTTCTTATATCCAAGCTTTCCATCAAGTCTTAAGTCCCCTTGCCAGTAAAAATAAAATCTCATATTTAAGTGGCTTGTTAAGTTTGGAAGACAGCCCCAGCCCTAGAGTTCAGAGCAAGCTTATGTTGATAAGAAAAGATTCCCAACTGCAAAAAGTATTCCTTTGAAGTCTCTACAGATACAATCTTTGGTAAAAGTAGCTGAAGTTTTTGACCCTTCTTAGCATGTATTGAGAGTTCATGTTGGTCTCATCAGGCAGTGTCTGGATAGTTGGGAGTTGATAGAATTTCCCTCTTTAATTCATGAAACTTGAGTGTTCTTTGATAAATCCCTACGACATAGCACCAAACTTTCAGAAAGCTGACGGGTGCCTAATGGACCTTTGAATTTCTGTCAGCTGGGTTTATCAAGTTACTTCATCTTTCTACCTCACGTGGTGGATGTAGGATATAAATACCTTCTACAGAAGATTATGCTTCAAGAACTAAATTATTGCACTAATGACATACTTAATACTTCTTGCCTCCTCCACATTCTGAAGAATATACAGCTAGTTAGAGTAGAAGTCTTGGATGAAACCAGTTCTCATATGAAGATCTTGTAATAGCCTACCTCTGTTCCTCAACTTCCAGCAACTGTCTGTAGGTACGTATTTCCAGATCGAGAGCCAGTTTCACGTCTAAGAGATGCTCATATTCTTCCAGTTGTGCTTGTGCCTGCTCCTGAGCTTCTTTGATTTCCTTCTCCTTTTCAGCCATACGCCTTCGATGGAGATCCTGATCATAATCCAACATCTCCTGTAGCTCCCTTATTCTGTTCTCCAAAGCAACATTCTAACATTAAAGGGATAGAAAAATCAATTAAGCCATAACTGAAGATTAGAGAGGAGAAGGCAATATTTTTAATTGGGTATCTAAATTTAAATAATTGTAAGTTTACACAAATAAAGGTAGTACCTTGCTTTGAAAACGATCCATTTCAGAAGTCAGATTATCAATTCTTAGTTTTGTTTCCATCAGCTCCTCCCGAGCAACATTGGCCAGGTTGATATTTTTTGCTGCAGACAGCTGAGCATTCTCCACCTATGGGTAAGTCACTGTTAGTAATGAGTCGCTTGTGACCATGTATTTTAAATAAGGAAGGAAAACCAAGTGATTTCCAGCTGTTACATGTAGAAATAGTTATCTTTTACTTAAGTGTGCAGATACCAACAAAGTCGAGGTCAAAGTTTTTCATTGCTTTTTATGGAGGTTTACATGTTTGACAGTCGTATCAAAAATTCAGCAATAATCAGATAGTGAAAATTGCTGGATTAGGATATTTCAGCATGAAGATTTCATATAAACATCAAGTAAATTGATTCTTCAAAAGAACAATGGAGAATGTTGTTCAGAAGCTGCTTGTCAAAGCACAGAGCTACAGGATAATAGGTGTGCTTGTCAAATTATTGCTCTTCCCCAGAAGTCCTATTACTAACCAGTTTCAACATAAGTATAAGCAGCACTGAGCTATTTCTCGAGCAATTCGTTCTCGAGATGTTCCAAGAAAGGATAAAGTAGAGCCATGCTTCCACAAGAGGCATTTGCAGAAATTCCAGTGGAAAACTGGACAGAAGCATCCAAAGGAATTCACTGAGTTGCATATAAGTTGGAATATCGAGAAAGCCAGAAGAAGAAATGAACACAGGTACTTATTGAGAGAAGTAGCAGATCATGTGATTCTGTACTGCAAAGGGACATCTGCACTCATACATTTAGAGGTGCTCTTGTAGAACTGTAAGAATACCTTATTTCATGTATTTTTAGTAAAGCTATCATCAGGAGACCAAGTTTTATTCAATACTGAAATTGCTCAATATAAATATAGCACACCTTGGTCTTGAATTTATTGTATTAGATATTCCTAATCACTCCCCAAAGCGACTGTACTTACACTTGAATCAGTTTTGTTTGGGATCTAATGTTTGTAGAAGTTCTATTATCAAATTTGACACTGCTTTGAAATTCCATAACAACTTATGTCAAGAAATGTTGCACAGAATGCAAGGACTCCATTGGTCAGCTATTTATGCTAACGTGACTTTAATCATATTAAAGTGCAGAGAACTTAAGCTTTATTTTATTGGTATCTTCATACAGACTCACTTTTTGACCAAATGTTCGCACCAGCTCCTCTTTGTACCCTTGAATTTGTTCTTCTTGTTCTTTTCTGAGACTCTGCAGAGCATTCAGAAGCTTGCTCTCAAATTCTCTCTGTTGGACAGATTCTATTTCTGCTATCATGCTCTCATGGACTCTTTTTGCCTCCTTGAGCTCCTAGGAGAAGAAATTTCACAAACAATAAGCAAGCCAATACAGTCTGATTTGAGAGTGGACTTACTGTACCAGCTTAACAAGTCATTCAGTATTGAAGCAGATTTATCACTGAGTACCTGGTAATTCATCTTTATTTGGATCTTAGATAATCACCCATTAGATCAGGTACTTCCACCTTACTAGCTGCACTAGGTTGTTTTGCTACTTCACTGCAAACATTGCTTAAACTAATAAATGCAGTAGTTTGTATTTAATTTGAGGACTAATTCTTTGAACTAGATTGATTTCTCCGCTTTGCTTTATTTGGAACACATGCGTATACACTAAAATTTCTTTAAGCACTGTTACTTCACCTATGCTTGTTGGATAGAGAAATTGGAACTCTCTATCACTTAAACCACACATTTTGAGATTCCTTCCAGTCAAAAGGAAGTTGGCTAACATTCAGATGTTTTTTAGTTCTATGTACTGACTTCTCACACAAAGGTTTCCAGACACCTTTGATAAGTGTTAAGGAAGCAGAGAACGTAAGTTGGTTATTAAAAGAGATTTAACTTCTTCGATTATTTTAGGCTTGTAGCAAACATCTGGAATCATTTAACTTTAACTGTAATATATGCACTTCCAGTTACACAAAGTAGTATACTGGGATTTTAATTACCTTCAGGAGTGCAGCCTGAGAAAATTCTTATATTTCAGATACCTATTGATACTATGCCAGTTAACATGATGTTGTTTACTTTCTTGAAGTCTTCCTAGTTAAGTGGATTTTATTGGCTGGTGAGCTGTCATAGCTTAACTCAGCTAGTTACCTTTTTAAAGACAAAACATATCTTAACATTGCTTTTAAGTAAATCCAGGGATGGACACCTAAAAAAAAGATCTTGTTAATAAGCTAAAACATACATCTTCATGAAGGCACTTCTGGAATGTCAGTTGTTCCTGCAAATTTTTCATATGATTTTCCAGGTCCACCCTCTTCAGCATTTCATTGTGGAGATGCTTTTTGGTATCTTCTAGTGACGACTTCAGCTAGAAAAGACATACATTAGGGTAATCGAATTAAGAGGAGATTTTTACAAACTAAGATGGTCAACTTACTACAGATCGTTCAACTTTGACTCCTCAAGGTGGACTTCTGATGAATCAATTGTACTATCCATATACATTCCTCCCTTTCACAATACGAAGTAGTCTAAACTTATAATTTCCAGTATCAATTTTTCAATGCTTAACAAGTGAAATAGTCTATACTGACAAACTATTACGTGCTTTCAGTGTTGAAGTGTGCTGATTGAATGATACAGAAGTTTGTTGTTTTGGTTTTTTTCTTTACATTTTCTTCCTAAAGATTTGAAATTAGCTTATTTAATGATTACATTAAAGCGTGAACATACAAAAGCTCTTAAAAATGCATTGGAAAAGTAGCAACTCAGGCAGAGTTTATTTTAGTAGCACAAAAAAAGTAGAACTTACCTTACTTATTCTAACTAGATTTAAGCATAGTGAGGCAGAATCCATTCAGTGCTCCCTTTGCTGGCACGTTAGAGAATGCTACAGGGGCTATAGAAGTGTAAGACATTTCAGCTTGCTTTGTCTTTAGAACAAGAAGGACTACATACTGTGGTCATAGAATAGAATTAAAGTTGCCAACAACAGCTGGAAGTTTTAGCAGACCAACTATCACTAGTGTGATAGTTCTGCAAGACTGCAGAACTCTGTCCATTTGTCATTGCCACAGGTAACAGTCTATCCTCATTTTTAAATCTCAATAACTAGCTGGGGAAAAACAAGCAAAAGCTTTAGGAAAAAAAAGCAAAATTGCAATTCCAGGGACAAGTCTTACAGTGACTACATGATCCTTTAATTCACGAAGGTCATTCTCCAAACGTTGCTTCTCATTCAGAGCTGTGGCTAAGTCAGCTTCCTTTGCGTTCAGCTGAGCATCAAGGTCTCTAACATGGCTCTGTACCAGGTTTAAATCAGCTTCTGCTTTGGAATTCCTGCAAGTGAAAGTTTTACATTCGTAAGTTGCAGCTTGTGAGGGAGAAGGTTTGTTTCTAATGTATTTACCTTCACAGAGGTCTGTGGCAGAACTGAAACAGAGGAGAGGTTAGTTAGCAGTGGTGGTGAGAGCACAGGGAGGCTGTAAAAGAAACCAGACAGGCCCTTCAGACAAGCATCATTTGTTTAACCAGAAATATTTCTGACCCAGTTTCCAGCTCTTTTTGTGTGAATCCTAGGCGGAAGCCAGCTATTTTCCAAGGCATTACCGACCGGAGAGGGAAGGGATGGAACAGGCCGCTGTCTCCGCAGGGAGGGACTAGTCACACTCAGAGTCGAAGTTCACCAGAGCACAGTGAGCTGCCACCACCGAGCAAGCTGCTCACACAGACACCTCCTTCCAGCGGCAAGGGCAGCCAGCAGCTCCCAGGCAAAGTGCCCACTGACCCTGAGAGCGCAGCACGGCCCTCACGCCACCCTCACTGGGCAGGAGTGGCCGTAGAGGCCCTCAGGCGGCCCAGCTGGGCAGATGGAGGCCGCCTTCTTGAGGGAGGGTGGCAGGTGAAGTACTCCTCAAAACTCAGCTCAGGCTGCCAAGGGATGTC